TTGTTGTTGTTGTTGTTGTTTCATGAGAGAAATCAAAGATAACGGATGAAACGTGACGCATGACTTGACGTGAATTGAGCCTAGAAAAACATTACTTGTAGTTTGGCACGTAACATAAAAATCAGACCTCTCTTTACCAAATATTTAATTTATTCATATAATAATTATTTGTATGTTTTCAACTGTTTTACGTGGAGTTTGGTATTTGGTTTTACTCACATGTCATTAGTTGATTTGGCCCGATTCAGAGGAGTTTTGAATTTAGCGTGAAATATGGGGTCCATTAAAATGCCTAAATACATTGTACATTTATCTTGATATAATAGACTAATCGCCACTATTCGGTACTATTTGCCAGTATTCGCTACCATTCGCTACTATTCGCGCTATTCGCACTATTCGCACTATTCGCACTATTCGCACTATTCGCACTATTCGCACTATTCGCACTATTCGCACTATTCGCACTATTCGCACACTTTTCGGATCTTTTCACCAGCCAATAGAGGACGCCGATAGGCCGAGTTCATTTTTTCAGTCAGAGGAATGTTTTAAATTCAACTAGACGCTGTAGGCAGCGTTGACTGGGATACCTGGAAGGGGGGAGTGGAGGACCTGGTTTCAACATGCATGGAGTATTTAGTTGGTTGAGCTTCCAAAAATACTGATAAAGTAGTACTGATAAATAACTCAATTTGGAACTGCAATTCCAGTTCCGGTCCGGATTTTCGCATACGTAATTAGGTTGTTGTTCGAGCATAAACGTGCACATTTGAACGGGCATTGTATAGCTCGCTTCAAAATCAAAATGCTTCATTTAAAACGTAAATACGGGCTAATATTTGCTGCAGACCTGTCTCATAATTGCTTTACATTTTATACTTATATGATTTATCGATATTTTTTAATAAATCACTGTTTTTTTGAAGAAAAATTAAAGGAGATCATAACGCTTCGAACGGCAAAGATCAAACCCTGGAATGTGCTTAGCAAATTATTTATTTTGCTTCTTAAATCAAATAGAATCTTAAAATAAAAATATTGCTATCTACCTCATGGAGTTCCTTTGTGAGTAGACTTTGAAGCCAAAACAGTTAATATGAATACATAAATGTAGGCTATAAAAATATCTATATTGTCATGCTGAATGAATTTGCAGTATCGCTTATCGTATAAATTCTGACTTTTGAAACCCTGTTCTCCTTATCGATCTTCGCTCGTTCGTGCAGAAAATACTGCTCGAGTAGATGAATCATGAAGAGTAAACCAAAACAAGCTGTTGCTCATGAAGTTCATTGAAAATTCTTAGAAATAATCGCTTCGAAACCATCGTATCTTCTTGCCTTTAAATCTCTGTTTACGAAATTGATAAATTAATATTTCTAGTTCGGCTGTCTTGAATTACAGCAGTCAACGAAATAGAGCATGCGTAGACATAAATCTGGGTCACGTGATCTGTTAGCTCCGCCCTCTCATAATCACTTGACAACATAGTGACATTGATTGACATCTGGTACATGATAATTGATTGGACTATTGATGTGAATCCCATAGCAGAGGCCCTCTAAGGTCTCCTGGGTAAGTTCCTGAAGACCCCTGGGTACTATTGCGCAACTTTCCCAATTTGTCGTAGAGAAGACCGAAAAAAAAAACACATTTTATGACTGTGATATCACAGGTATCCCAGTAATTATTTCCAAATTGGACAGACATGTAGTCCTATTGCAGATTAATCATATCATCTCAAACTATGCTAGACTGATTCCATAAGTCATAATTTTCCCTCGAAAGAATGCGAATGGAAACGATCCAAGTTAACCTTTAATTGGGACAGGAAAGAGTATCGGTCTAGCGTAGTATTTGAAAATAATACAATAGTTGTTTATATAGGATTATAGAGTGATGACACAATCAATATTTTTAAGTACCGTTAGAAAACTCATTAATAATTCATGAAGAAAACACAATAGAAATCATGACCATGAAGGTGATTTTATATC